AACAAACATTTAAAATCATATCTACAAGTTATATTGAAAATTGCCAGCTCAAAGACTAATATATTAACTAAGCATGAGGAATCTGAATCCAATTTTCTTTGGCTAGATATATAATATTTACATTGTATTGTGAATATTTACAATAAAAACGTTGTACTAGCTATGTATACTTGCCATTACTTTCTCATCCACGCGCAAGGATGAATTTATTAAATTTAAAAATTCAATCCATTAAAGTTAGTGTTTCAAATTTTATAGTATAAGATAAACTTTTTCGAGGATATATATATATATATATATATATTTTTTTTTTTTTACAAACTTTTTGTTTACAAACTTACAAACTACACTATGTTTGTATGGTAATACTCTACTCAAGAATGTATTAGCGGTCAGACATAGTATAGTTTGTAAACAAAAAATTTGTAAATATAATATTATCACCCCCCCCCCCCTACACACACATATATATATAATTAAAGAGGCGAAATGACTCATAAATTTGTTCTCACTTGCAAAATAAAAATAAAAATTACCAATTAATCTCAACTAACTTTAATATTATTGAGAACCTAAGTGTAGGTAATCAAAATCTTACATTAGTTAAGAATAAACTAAGTGATGACTGTAACATCCTGGTGGCTGATGAAGGCGAGAAGTGATCGCCGGTGCAAAGAGGCACGGACAAGGAGCGACTCCTAGCAGGTTTCCAGCGGATGGATACATGAATGAATCGAATACACACCCAAAAGAGAGGGATTCCAAAGACTGTACGTATATATAACTCTACAATTAGGGATACTTTATAAGAATTAATTAGTACTACCTAGACTAACAAAATGCATATATTTTTCAGTAGCCCAGAACGGAAGAACTCCATAGTTATATGTGCTTAATTTAGAGCAATTTTGAGATAGGTGACTATTGTGCAATTTGTAATCAATTAAATTAACCACACAAATACGCAAGTGCACGTGTCACAAGTAATAAAGGGATGTGTGAGTCCAAGATCGTTCACACGGAGATGATTTATAAAGCAGTGATTATTTAAGTATAGAAACTAGAAAATGATTGATTTTTGATAGTTGAGTTTTTAAAATAAAAGATAATTAAACTAAGAAAATAGTAAGCTAATTCTAAGGTATTAAAGTGATGGATGAAATACAGGTCAGGTTCAATTTTTCTGATACAACAATACTGAAACGATGCTCTATCAATGCTTAATTAGTAACCGAACACTAAGGTATGCTGGGGCTTTTGGCTAACCTAACATATATACCCAATAACTAATTCCCACATCTCTATGGCCAAATTAATTATCAAATTCATTAAGCTCAAGTTCAAGGTTATGTGGTGTGAATGATCTCTCTACCCAGAGGCGGACCGAGGGGGGTGCTAGGGTAGGCGGCCGCCCCCCTCAAAATTTGAAGAATTTTTTTTTTGATACATAGAAGAAATTTTTTAACATAAGTATAATGTAAGAAACCTTCATTTTTTCTCTCCATTAATGTGAAGTAATTTTCTCCTGTCGCAGAGAGTTTATAGAGCTTCTTTATATTCTCAGGTCCTATATCTATTGAAATCCCTCTATTGAAATCCCTCTAACTCTGATTGTATTTTTTCTCCCTCCAAGAAAGTTAACAAAATGAACAAAACAAAAAAAGAATGAAAAAGAGTACAGTACCATGATTAGATCTTGTCGAATTGAAAAGTAAGCTCAGTGTTTAGTTTGAGGGTTTTAGATAGAGTTAAGAGATAGAGAAAAGAAAGTCACGATTATCAAATCCAAGATTTAATGTTTTCTTGTCTTTTTTTGCTTTAACAAAAAATAGGTTTATTTAAGATTACATCACAATGTTGAGAGTATTAATGACCACCAATAGAGCTACATGGTTTCTCTTAGTTCCAATTCTTTTAGCTACGTGGCGCTTGCTTGTTGGCACAGACCTGGTGGTAACAATTAGCATATGGAATTAGCATGAAATTATGGAGAAAGATCTGTTTACAAATTTTTTTTACAAATTACATTAAGTATGACCAGTCATACACTCTTGATTAAAGTATGACGGTTAGACACATTGTAGTTTGTAAGAGTTTCTAAACAAAAAGTTTGTAAATAAAACATTCCCCTTAAATTATAGTTTAAACCTCGACTTGAAACTTATAGTTTCAACTTTTATTATGCTTAAGATGTTAGCACAAATCTTCCTATCCATGAATAAAAATAAGAAGTCCGAGAGCCTTATGAAAAAATGAACCTTATTCTTTCGATCCTTCTCCTTTTCTGATGATTCGTGACAGAGAGGGAAGTGAGGGGCATAATGGTTTTGGTGATTGTGCTTCTTGGCAATATGTCTCTTCTGATTTATCTTTGGCTTTTCTCTCTATAACAAGGTATTTATGAGTTATGTTCTCTGGATTGGTGTTTCGGCCTCCCACATATTGTGGTTGAAGAGAGGAACAAATATTTAATTTTTCATATTTTAGCCTCTCATATATTATGTTTGAAGAGAAAAACAAATGTTTAATTTTTAGCCCCCCACAGAAAAAATTCCTGGGTCTGCCACTGTCTCTACCCACAACTTAATTAAGTTACTTTTCTTCACCTAATTAATCCACACAATTCAACAAGGGTCTGGATTCGGAAACCTCTCGGCCCCAACCTCCTCAATATCATATATGTATCTCTCGACATGCATACATGAACATAAATAAGCAAACTTGTTGAAAAACTAACTAAACATTCATAAAAATAAAGTTTAGGCATCCATTAAAGTGTTACAGCATAGGTACTTTATCACCCAACTTAATGAGCAATTTAGCTCATGATGGAATAAAAGAACATGCAAAGAAAGGGATGAAGAAGCATTGAAACAGGTTCCATAAACTAAACACTGCTATATCAAAACTCTGTCGCGACCAGACTACTCCTCAGCAATGTTATAGCAAGACGTTGCTCTCTGACTTCAGCTTCCGGGGAACTCTCCCTCTCTCTCTAAACGTGATGAGTTACTACATTATTTCAAGCCTTTTGAATTCGTAGGGGGCTCTTCTTTAAATAGAACAGGTGGTTGGTTAATTAGGCTTCAAGTTTAGGAGTGAAAATCCATGAATTGTGCTACTGCAGTCCTATTTTATCCCTATTTTTCTTGGGTTGTTGGCACTTAATTGGATAAGATCTTGATATTCTTGATTTGATTCTGCGAATATTGTTGCTGATTAGATAAGAGTTTGTTATCCTTAATTGTTGGGATTTGAGATAAGATTTGATCTTCAAAAATGTCCTTATCCTCGCTTGCTGGTGCAGTATCTATTTGTTGGGATCATAACTAACTTTTGAAATTTGAATTTCAGTTGTTCCCTTGTCCTCGCTGTCATGCTGTACCGATTGTTATATCATTACTTCGTTAGCTTCTCTGCTACAACACTTAAACATCAACTTTCCTGCAAAGACAAAGCACTCAACAAGTCATTTATTCTTATACAAAATCAAGGAATATTATCTCATTTTCCATACTTAGTCATCTTAAAGCACTTAAAAATGAATACGCAATATTTAGCTCAATTATCATGCAAATAAGACAAATTATATGGAATTTATACAGTAAATTCATCATAAAAATACCAAATTAACTCTCATTTGGGAGAGTTATCACACTCCAAACTCAAAATGTTGCTCGTCCTCGAGTAACAAAGAAGAAATTTATTAATAAGCCTGCGTAAATTCGATAGCATTATTGCAACAATGATTATTATTGAGATGAACAATTCTGATGTAGCATTCCAACAGCAAAGTACACGTGAGAGTTGCTTCTCAACCTTGGCTTACATTTCAACTTTGGGACTCTTTGTTAGCTTGACTTCTTTTGGCTTCTTGCTTCTGGAACATTGAGTGTGTGTGTGTGTGTGTGTGTGTGTGTGTGAAGAACTTCCTTGTTGACATGAACCACTTGAGAGCTTTAAACTAATAATCATATGGATTAGTTGCTTTATCCATACATTGCCAAACTTGAATCAAAACCCATGTGTAGAGAGTTGAAGGAACGGGTGTCCACTTAGTTTGGTTATTTTGACTTTGGCTCCCTCTTTTGTTTTCGTGAGCTTTGCCTATGTGCATTGGTAATTATTTTATTTTTTTGCTTTTTGATTTGGTTTTTCTTTTTGTGAGGGGCTTTCTTTTCACTTATGTTTTTGAACTTCCATTAGCTTGGCTTATTTCACCCTTATAGCCTTTAAAACTTACTCATATTGTCAGATTCAAATCCATCAAACCTTGGATCCAAAGTCTTCATTCGCAATTCACTCTTTGGGCTTCTCTTGCTTTCTAGTTCATCCTTTGTGCTTGAATGCTCAATAATTCTAGTTGCTTTCTGCCTTGATCATTTTAGCCTCTAATTCATACCTTCATTGCCTTGCAAGTTCAAGTTGAAGAACACTTACTCTCTCTTAACGTAACTACTATTTTTCTGCTACAACAAAAAAGATCACAACAACATAGCTAAGGATGCAATCTGTTTTATCTTATTGATGCAACATTATTTTTTCGACTTCTTGTTACTTTTTATTGAGGCTTTTTCCAAGTCTTTTTATTATTTTACTACTATAATGGGTAACCTATTTCCTAATTCATACCGAATTTAAAATCTAACTAATTGGCAAACATGTTCCTTTTTTTAATTTTCATGATGATGCAAGAGGTTTCACTTCAAAAAGCAAAAGAAGAAAAGAAAAAGAAAAGAACAAGGCAACTTGTTTTTTTTTTCATTTTTAAATTAGAACTAAGGGAAGTTCTAATCATGGTCTTTGTCTTCTTCCTGGTCCGAGGGGTTATCTTCCATGTTTTCATCTTTTTGCTTAACCTCATCTCTCATTTCTTCATTTTTGCCTTGATTTTTCCACTTTTGGGTGCTTGGTGTCTCCATTCTTGCCATTCCAAACTCAGTTTGGTTGCCTCATATCAAAGTGATTGAGGTATGGGGGACTCCAAACTCAAGCCTTTGCTATGGCCCAATTCCTTTCTTTGGGGCATCAGTACCTCTTTTCCTGCAACATAATTTAACTTGGATTAAAAGAGAACATGAATACTAACTTATCCTAATCCTAAGAATTGAAAGTACGAGTATTTAAAAATGCAAGAAATTCAAATGCAATAAACTTAAAATACTGGAATTAAAATGCATAAATGAAAAACTTCCTAATTGAACTTTGGGTTGCCTCCCAAAAGCGCTTGTTTTATAGTCTCCATCCAACTTTAAATTCAACTCATTGTTCCACATATCTACCATAACTTTTCGTGTATCAAAGAATGGTTCCTCAAGAAAGTGAGAAATAATAGGGTCCTCCTCTATGTCAAGTATCACAAAATCTACTTGGTGTGCAAAGTTGCCTATCTTGACATTCACATTTTCAACAATGTCAGTTGATGCTTTGATGGAGCGATTAGGCAGATGTGGAGTCATATTTGCAGACCTTATGCTCTTTATTCCCATATTTTCTAGCAGTGTTATAGTCATCCATTTCACATTAGCCTTAAGATTACTCAATGTTTGCTCCTTTTCCATGGTATCTTATTGCTCTTGTAGCCTTTAGGGGAAATGAGGTGGTGGTCTGATTGTCTTGCTGACGATCTGACCCTGTTGTGCTTTTGATTTAGCAGTAATCTCAGTGGCAGCAACTTGAGGTTCTTTGGGTTGATCATGAATTTCTACCTCTTCAACAACTTTATCTCCTTAATTCTGATTTAATGCTTTCTGCTTCTGCTCATGGTTGTTCTTTATAACTTCTGGTTCATCTACAACTTTACCACTGGGTAGCGCTATAGCATTGACCTGTTCTTCTCCATTCTTATTTGCGACTTTAGTGTTGCTTGGCAAGGCTCCTTGAGGTCTGCTTCTAAGTGCTTCTGCCAATTGACACACTTGAGTCTCCAAATTCTTGAATGATACAGCTTGATTCTGAATTATAGCATCGCTCCTTGTCATGTAATCCTTTAGCATACTTTCCAGCGTAGTTGATATATCAACTTGTTGTCTGGGCTGTTGCTGCTGCTGCATAAATCCAAGAAGGTATGGGACTTTATGTGGTCGTTCAACTGTATCTAAGGATACTTGCTGCTGACCCTGATGCTGTCCTTGATAATAGGAAAGATTTGGGTTGTTCCCTTATTTTTGATTGTAGGTGTTTGAATATTGTAACACCCCGTGTATACTCGGAATATTAACATTACATCGTATTAAGCGGTGCTTAATTAAAAATGCGGAATATTCTTTTTCTTTTCAATTATGACGTCATTATCAATTACCAACTTGATTACTTAATCAATTTCATAAAATAACGCTGTATGTAAATTGCAATAAGACATCTACTGAAATACCTCAATATATAAATATAGTGTGTATCTAAATCACAGAATTACATCTCGTAATCCGGACAATATCCTTATACATTATTACAACTCCAAAAGACTCAAGACATAAACAAGACATAACAATACTATGTGTCATGGACAATCCCCATGCTCACCAAATAAACATAGTAAACAACCAGTCTCAACATAAAACTCCATAAACATAAACTGAAGCTATAAGCATATAAGCAGCATGCAAATCCAGCATCCAATCATGGCAGCATAATATAACAGCAATCTAACTCAGCTCCGGCCTCCTGCCGCCTGAGGTCTTAACATTACCTGACCTTGAAATAAGCATTCCCCAAACGTGGGGTGAGATCTCTAAACCAGAAATCTCAGTAAGACAAGGGGTCCTCAAGGATCTTCCACCTCAAGCTCACTTACATGTGCAATATAAGTTCTAAAAGCATTTATATCATTATCAGTTCCAAAACTATGTAGTGCAATAGATGTCTATGGCATGTGTGTAATCACTATCTACTGGCCAGAGAAATGTAGGAATACGTCTATTCCCTACATGTAGTACAAGGAATACCGCTTGCACCTCACCCACAGCCTCACCATCTTGTATGTTCTACATACTCAGGCTTACCGTATAGGTGGAATACCTCCATGCATATCAACAAGGCACTAACATACAATAGCTCAACAACATTTCCAAAACATCAAAAGCATGTAACACAGCATGCATATACCATATCCCCATGGGACATGGTGGAACCACAACATGGCTAAACCGAGGACACAAAAGCTTACCGCTAAGCTAGCTATCCAATGCCACAAGCTCAAAGTCCAATCACAGCAGATCACAATATGATATGGACCAAATATAAATCAATAAACATGTACCACATGCATACAAATTAAAGACAACGCCTTTTCATTACGTTTTATGTCTTAAAGCTTCTAACAAAGCCACAAGCCCTTAATCCCATGATTCTGGCTTAGTCCATTAAATACAGAAGGTTCAACTTCATCAAACTAGGGTCCACAAACCCCCAATAACCTACTGTACACACAGCACAGCTACTGTTTCACGAAATCCCAGAATATCCGGATATTCCTCGGGACCATATCCGGATATGCAATATCCGGATTTACATATTCACATATCCAGATATCCAATATCCAGATATCCCAAAACCCCATATCTGGATATCCAATATCCGAATATCTGTTCGACAAATATCCGGATATTTCACGACAGAATGCAGTTTCTGCATTTTCGTGAAGATATCCCTTAAAGGTTCCCTTTTTACCGATTTTAAACACCTAATCATGCATTTCTAGGCGTGTTCAACATTATCCAACAACAAGTTATCATCTTTTAGTCATTAGATGCATCAAGGTACGATTTTTAAGCATTTAAACTCAAGTTAAAGGTTGGTACACATACCCTAGCTCAAAACAGAAGGAAATGTTGCCCTTTCGAGCTCACATGTATAGGACTCTACAGTTGGGGATAACTTATAAGAATTAATTGGTACTACCTAGGCTAAATCTCCTGGGAAGTTTTTCTAGGAAGTGTGTGAGTGAGGACAAAGCACGCCGAAAAATCTCGTGTTAGTTTGTGGGGACAATCATTAATTCTTGAAGCGGCCAGGTGTTACAATGACTATATAAATGAAAGGATCTATAATATAATATTTTAAGATTTTGGATTGAGATATGTTATTGATACCACCTATTATGATACATTACTACATAACTCATTTGATATTAGTTCTTCCCTATTACGAGCCTTGTTCCTTAATAAGGGCCTATTTGGATGGACTTTTTTCAAAAGAAAAAAAAAACACTTTTCACTGTAAGTTCGTTTGAATATCTACTTTAAGAAAAAGCAGAAGTCACAAAAAGAGTTAAAAACATACTTTTTTTGGAAGCTATAAATTTTAGCTTATAAAAAAAGCAGAAGTCAAAAGCCAAACATTTTTTTTTTTCCAAAAATCAATATTTTTTACAAAAATCTAAAAAATGTTTTAACTTTAATAAAAAATACTTCTAAAATAAATATGGCATAAAAGCTTCTTTTTTTTTTAAATGCTACACAAACGAGCTCTAAATATAGATTTGGCTTACGGTAGATCTATATATAATAGCACATTTATCATTTAAAATATAATTTTTTATACATATTTAAAATATAATTTAAGTTTAGATCTATGTACAGAGAAATTCAACGATAAATATACTATTATATTTAGGATTCAAATCTATTCAAATTTATATTAGTATTACTCCTTAAACTTCATGCTTGAGATAAATATTATTTACATTTTTTTTGATACCCAAATGTTATTTAATTAATTCATCTTAAACCAAGGTTTTTGTTATTTCAATTTTAAAAATTGTCATTGTGAATTATAAAAGATATAGCAGTAAAAAAAAAATATTTTAGCTAAAATAAAAAATATGTATACCCTCAAAATTTAATGAGACACACCTTATAACATATGAAGTGTTGCTGGCATTACTTGGTATAGTGGTCATGATCGTGGGTTAATTTGTGGGACATTGACCATACTATCACGCTTTTAAAAAAAATTACCTGAATGTCATGGGTTGAAATTTTTTGCGAAATTGCCATAACTCCAAACTCGCTGACAATTATAGTGAGTATGGTTTGCCATGTGGCACGTTGTTTGGTGGTCAAACCAGTCAAACTGTTGTTAGACAGTTTGAAACTCGATAGGTGTTGCAACGAGTTTAATGTAGCACAAAATTTAGGATATTTTACTATAAAACTTAGGAAGGCCATAACTTTTGACTCAAGTGTTCAAATCATGTGCTTTTTTTATTCCACGTAACTTTTCAAGAGCTACGTGCCGACAAATCTCTAATTTGGTAAAAAAAATTCCCAAAAAATGTTTTTTGTGACCCATTTGACATATTTTATCTTTGTGAATGATGTTATTTAAGTTTTTACTTTCCAACACTAACAAATGATCCTCCAGGAATTTGTCAACGTGTAGATTTCAAAAAGTTATGTGGAATAAAAATAAATCACCTGATTCGGACACCCAAGCCAAAATTTATGCCATTCCAAAATTTTACGATAAAATTACCAAAATTTTGTGCCATATGTTATCACTGTGTGAGTCTATAAAATCGCTACCACTGACAGTGAGTTACACATTGTTTGCCATGTGCTTCTGAAGCTCCTCTGATTGATTAGATCACTAAACTTGCTGCTAGTCGTTCCACGTGGCAAACAATACTCGCAACAACTGCTAGCGAGTTTGGAGTTGTGTCATTTTGGAAAATTTTTATCTAAATTCCGTAAAACCAACTTTTAGTTATGCTCTTTTTCAAAACACCACCTATACTTTTAATCCAAACAATTAACAATTAAACATATTTAATAAATTTAATATAAAAATATCCTTCTCCTTATGAACCACTTCATCTGTTACTTTTATCGCGTTGGATTCCAGTCAAGGCTGCTTCACATTTAGTCACTAGAACATTTATCTTTCCTTTCTATACATCAGACCCAGGCGCAAAACCCATATTGAAATTTCGTATGAAATGAGCATCCACGACATATTTATGCAAATTATAAGCAAGTGCACTAATGTTAAACATTTTTTTATTATTATTATTATCGAGGGCATTCATTCACATAAGAAATCAATATCATCCAGTTACTAGAACATTTATTTTTCCTTTCTATACAACAGACCTAGGCGCAAAACCCAAATCAGAATTTCCTATGAAATGAGCATCCATGCATATTTATGCAAATTATGAGCAACTGCAGTGATGTTAAATATTTCTTTTTATTATTATCGAGGGAATTCATTCACATAAGAAATCAATATCTCCAAGGTGTCACAAAACAAATATTAGCTAGATAAAATTAAATAAAAATAGATCCATTAAAACTAAGCATTGAGCGGGAAGCAAAGACATCATCACAAACCCAATAGAATTTGCAAGCATGGGAAGAGCTCAATGTGATAATCAAACAAAAACCAGTTCCAAGAGAGAGAAAAAATTGTAACTTAAAAATTCAAAGCCATCAAAGAATGCAAGAATGTCGAGCGTAAATGGAGAAACATGGATTACAAAGATAGATAGCAGAAAATGAGATAAGCATAGTTGAATTAGTAGAAGAGTATTTTGACTCGTGGACATGGGCGGACCTACATG